TCGTTGGACAACCATTAATTCCGATATGATCCTGTCATTTATTTAGTTACAAATCAGCATTATTGTAACAATGTCTTTTTTGAATATCACTGCCACTCCATTCCTATGATCTCATGTCTTGAATATTGTATAATTATCTGATATAAAGTATCCCATTCAATCCACCTACATTCACAAATTCCTGAAACAGCCTGAAGAATTTAGTGTACCTCATCTCTGGATTGACCATTTCAAGTTTTCTTTAGTTCAAACCAAACAGGGATTCCCCACAGTCCCTGCTTCAATGAAGAATCTTTTTAAAAACTGGTACTATTAGTAACCAGATTTCCTTGAGGCTTTGGTGTTACCATGTTATCATTTCCAAATCTATTCATGGATTTCAGGGTTCTTCTCCACTAACTACAATCATACTCCTTGATTGAGGAATTTTTATCATCTGTCATTCCAAAGTCTAAAAATTACAGTCAGATCTATATAATTTTCTTGGCATGTACTACTTTGGCTATTGACTCTTCTTTAATATTAATTTCCATTTCAGGCACTGAAATCATCTTAAAATGAGTATGGAGCTACTTTCATCTTACTGTAGCTATTCCAGAGAAAGAAAGAAAAAAGTAAAATTACAAGCCTGCAGCTCATGGGAATTTATTCTTATTATGTTAGTCTATAATTTCATGTAATATTTGAACAAAGCTGTCCTAAAATGCAAAATAGTTCCTAGCCTTTTCTTCAAATTTCAAGGACAGCTATGTCTGAGTTTCATATTCAATTATATATGGAACATGTAGGAATGAATTAACAACTTCTATAAACCAGATGAAAGAATAAATGAGGGATAAATTTTAATTTGCAATTAAAGCATTAGTTGATTAAACTATTAAATAATTTGATGAAGCTTGTAAAACATCATAAAGCCCCTGTGATCTGTAATATAATTTACTAATTTTTCATCCTTAGTTCTATATGCTTGTGCAGGTAGGTGACCCATTCAGGCACTTAATTCTTAGCATATAAGAAGATTTAGAATAGGATTTATTTGACTTGATGGAAGCTAAAATCATGCTTTAGTGCTTGACTGGTTTGGTGCCCTAGAATGTTCATTCTCTTTTAGAAATGAAAGGAAAAGAATGAATGGCATGAAAATAGATGGAATTTATTCTTGACATACACTGGGTGTACCTGGGAAGAATTATAATGCATGCAGTTTTGTCATTTTTTAAAAAATATTGTTTTTCCATGTGCTGCTTCAATCTTCCCATAGCCATTTTGTAAAGCACTATTCTATCAGAAGTTCTCCAAATGCAGAACACTGTAGGAAGTAAATTTTGGAGCCATCTAATAGCAGCTACTGACCTACACTATGACCATTGTCACATTGGTATTGTCCTTCAGCTATGCGTAAAATAAGAGTAAAATTAACCTTGATGGGTATGACCATAGTCCCACTTAGTCTAGCCCGTGTGATATGTAATGTCTAACTAAATGCATCTGTGAAGTTCGCTAGTCTGGTGAGAGCCCTCCCAGACATAACCAGATTCTGCTTTATAATAAGGCTACATTAATAGAATTTTGCAAGTCTGAAAGTACAAATTTCCCACCACTACATTTAACTGCTTGATCCATTAGGGTAGGTCCTTCCTAATTTTCTTTCTTTGACCACTAAGCCACTGGGGGCTTTTTCCTCTTCCTCTTGTTCCCCAAAGTCCTCCATACGTTCCATTACATCTGGACTGGAAGACAAAAGCTCCTTCCCATTTTAAAACATGCTACTTCTCATTCAGGGAGTGCTAAATAGCCACCTGTAGTAGAAAGTATTGATAGTTTCATCTTCCGTGAAGCAACTAAGCCAGTTGGATTCTCATTGCCACAGGTATAAGTAGCCAATTTCACAGTTTAACCAATTGTTATATAAAAAAGTAACTTTTTTTCTTCCTATGAATAATTCTAACAACACAAAAAAGGGTGAAAAACTCTTTATCTATATTATTTGTGTCATTAGAGATTTTTATATAACCCTGTCATGCCTCCATCATTGCAAGCAGAGAAGCTAATTGCTATAATCTTTCCTTTAAGGACAGCTGTGTGTGCACTTTAATCATGTAAAAAAGGCAGCTTAAATTCTGGGCTTCTGGCCACCATCTTGACTATTTTGATAGCCTCCACCCCTAAATGCTCCTGATGACTCTTGTTTGAATCCTTTCCAATTAAATAATTCCTTCTTAAGATATGGTAGTGAGAAATGTATATAATATTTCATGCCCATAGATAAGGCCAAGATGTCTTGGTTATTTGGTCTTTCACTTGGGGAGTGAGAGAAAGTGGAGAATTGGGTTTAAAAATATTAATTGGAGTAACATATTTTAGGTATTATTCTAATATGGGTGACCCAGGTCTCTAATTTTCTTGACAATGAAATTTGGAAGTATGGTTAAAAGGAGACCCAAGAGCATAAAAAGGGGGCTTAAAGAGAGTCTAACAAAGAATAATAGGTTGTCCACCTTGCTTTCCTTGATTTCTCAAGAATTAAGACTCATTATTTTGGCTGCAGTCCTCACCTTGAAAACAAGCTGTAAATTTGCTTGCTTTAACATAGTATCCATGGCAGTATCTATCACACTCCCAGTTATGTCTTTAGACAGTATACAAAGTGGATTCATTTAAGTACTGGTATAGTACTTTAACACTTGATGGCTCACATCAAGAAATCCCACTTCCTTGATGGAAAGCAGGTTCCCATCCCCAACACCCTCAATAGTCAGGATAAGTAGATGTTACTTCAGGAGTCTGTTCAATGGGACCCAGTTCTAGTAGCTACATTGAGAATATGCCACTAATCAGAAGACACTTTTTAGTAGTGAAGGTTTGTGATATGTGTAATCAGAGTATGAGTCTGTGGTGGTTTGCTTTTCTCATAGTGCCAAATGCTGTCTATATAGGAGATACTATTGGAAGAAGTCATTAGTCATATACATATGGGCATTGATAATATGTGGAAAAATAGTTGGATAGTCTTAGAGGCCAAATTTAGCTTCTTGGATAAGTTGAAATCTAGGATTGCCAAAAGTTTCTTTGTCAGAAGTATGCTTGCACAATAAGACAAGCAGAATTGCATAGTCTCAATGTGCAGAAGAGATGTTATTGGGAGGAGTGGGGGGGTTAGAGTTTTGAAACTCTAGAATAGAGTTTTGGAAAAACCAAATCTGGACAAAAATGCATTTGAACAAGGAGAGTACATAGTGCTGGCCTTGAAAACAACTTAGAAGCTGAAGCTGTCCTAGAAAGCAGCTTTAGCCATGTTATAATTTTACTCCTTTTTGAGTGAATTACTTACAAATAGATTTCCAAGGACAATTCAGGAGCCTGTTAAGTGAATCCACAATTGGCCTGAAAACTGCACTTAAAAAGTTGATCAATGCTTTCTCATCAAATCGGGGGAGGTATTGAGTTAGTTCTGTCAGATTTGGTTCTAAACCTGCTAGTCTGAAATATTTACTGTACTAACTTAGATAAAGAGATGAAAAGTGCTGATGAGATTGTAGATGGCTCAGAATTGAGAGGGATAGTGAAATATGAAAACAAATGTAAAAATTGCTTTAGCTAATTTGGACTGAAAATAAAAGGAACAAACATAAAATTATCCATTTAAGTAAAAGAAATCAAATACATAAGTGCAGAATTCATGTATCTGGTTTAGTAAAAGATGTAAAAAAAAAAGACTCTTGGAAGCTAGTGTGCATAGCTGCTAAAATGGGAAAGCAATTTTAGATGGCATAAATCATAGCATAATTTCCAAATTATGAAAAGTAATAGTTGTGCTAAATTCTGTACCTTTCAATAAAAATTCAGAGAGACTAGAATAGGTTCAGATAAGGGCAATGAGGATGACCAGAGGACAAGAAACTAAATTTTACAGTGAGAGATAAAAAAATGAGTAAATTTAAACTTGGCAATAGCTTAATCACTGAAAGGAATATGTCAGTGCTTTTCAAATGTGAAGGAATGCTATGTACAGAAAGATTGTTTTCTTTTGTGTCAGAGTATAGGAAACAAAACAGTATTCTTTAATTACATGAAAACAATTAAATTAAATGTTAGAGAAAACCTCAGTTCTGCAATGGATCCAATTGCTAGGCTATATCAGAAATGCCTTTATTTGAATATCTTCACTGAGTAGGGGATTGAACTCAATGATTTAAGTAGCCCTTTTCATTAATTATATAGTTGTTAGAAATTGGTGGTTTTTGTCTGCCCATATATACTACAGGAGCTATGTTTTGAGAATATACATCGGATCCCCCCCCCTCCCCCAGAATTCAGAATGCAAAACAGCCTCTCAAGTTCTTGTCATTAGCAAATGTCCTCCCAGAGGAAGAAGAAATATGGGAAACATTGCTCAAATAATCATTTATGGAATTCACACTGTTTTAGAGTGAGGGGTTCTACAGGCATTGGCTTTGGAAATGGTTTTAGGGAAGAAGGGAACTCTCCATTTTAGTCCTTTAGAACTTTGTCAATCACTCTGACCAAATTCTATTGGTTTATTAAAATATTTATAGTTTATTTTTTTTTAAAAAAAATCTGGATACCACCTATTTAAATGTCAGTTGAAACCTTATTCACTAGAAAAATACAGGTATATTTGGACAATGACTAAAGCAAACTTGAAATAAATGTGTTAGTTTTATAACTGACAGCAAAACTTAAAAAAACATATATTCACTTATAATATCGAGTTAATTATGAACCAAGCTTAAGGAGAATCTCTGTTATTTTGTTGTTGTTTTCTTTCAGTATGGTCTCAGGTTGATTGTGTAGGTAATTTTGTTGGATCAGAAATCCACACATAACCTAAATAACTTAAGCATCTAAAAAAATGTTGTTGATGAGGAATTCAGAATACAAAATGCATCTGTAGCATAAGAGACACCTCCATTGTTAAACTTATTGCATTCATCCACTCCTTGTTTTTCAATGGTGTCTTTTCCTATTCTGTCTCCTAGGTCTATGTACAAACCACCACCCTTACAATATCTATGAACTTAAGTGCTTCAGTGGCCTTGGGAATGCTTTACATGCCGAAAGTTTACATCATCATCTTCCATCCTGAACTAAACGTCCAAAAGCGGAAACGTAGCTTCAAAGCAGTAGTGACAGCAGCCACTATGTCATCACGACTATCACACAAAACTAGCGACAGGCCCAACGGGGAAGCAAAAACAGAACTTTGTGAAAATGTAGATCCAAACAGTAAGTAGTTTGAACCGTGTTGCTTTTTTTTTTTTTTTTTGCCAGAGTGTTGTGGAGACTGTGTTGACAGGAACCTTATCTTTGAGAATTCATCCCTACTTTGTTCTTATCTTGAAGATTATACAGAAGTCTATCTGAAGCTGTTCTATTCCCATGAAATGCTCCTTTTATAATGTTAATCTTTTGCCCAGAGCTTTTTGATTCTCCCTGCTGAGAATAACTCTCTGGGTTGCTTTAGAATACCATAGGCAATTCTTCCAGATATCTTCCCTTTCCTTTTGAGCATGACGGTATTCTTTGATCACTGATCTCAGACTGACTACTCATTCTGATCACCTATATCTGATGCTGTTAAATAGACAGGCAAGAAATAGGTGTATTTTTTGCCTATTTTATACAGCTTATTCATACCAAAAAGTATGTGCAATATATGCCTTCACTCTTCATGGCATCGTTCTTGACCATTGGCCATATTCTTTTGGGAGTAACAGGAACTGAAGTCCAACAATACAGAGGATGCATTCTGGTCTGAGGTTTTCACTACAGCTTTAAAGGAAATGTCTTAAAATACTATTACTAATGACAACAAGAATAATAAAAAGCAACATTGGAGCTATCTGTTTTCAATGTGAGGGAAAAACTAAACTTTAAAAAAGACTTGTGTTAATTTATACCCTAAATCAGTTGCTGTTTCATGTTCCAATATGAAATAGTGGTAGATTTCTTTCACCCACAGTGAACACAAAACAACCATGCCTAGTTTACTTAAAATATATTTTGATTTCATATGAACATTATTCAGATGTTTAGGAATTTGAAGCACTTACCATGCAAATATCCTTGTTAAACTCTATCCTCCTTTATGAGTATTATTATTTGATGAACTTTCATGGGGAACAGAGCTTCAGGATTTTGCTGATTTCTAGTTCCCAAGGTTATAGTTGAGTTTAATTTTGATCGCTATCCCCCCAAAAGACATTTTGCTCAAATAATGAGTGTCATGGTTTTCCAACAACCCTCCCTGTCTTTTAGTTCAATTAAAAGACAGGTGATAGATTAACCATTTTTACTGACAGCCCTAATCATAGGCAGAGGATTCTGATTAACTTGAACACAATACATAAAGGGAAATTATGCAAATTATGTAAGGAACAAAGGAATTTTAATACCTGATTGTCCTCATTTGCAAAGTTCTCTGAACGGCTTTCTCCTATTTATCAACAATTAGCAAAATGCCATTTATAAAATAGCTTCCATTTCTCAGAATAGCAATAGCATTTAGAGTTATACAGTATATTGTCCCATAGCGCTTTAGAGCACAAGTATTATTTGCATATTATCCCCAACAATCTGGCTCCTCATTTTACTAACCCTGGAAGAATGGAAGGCTGAATCAACCCTGAGCCCCGTCAGGATCGAACTCTAGATTATGAGCAGAATTTGCCTGTGAAACTGTACTTAACCACTGTACCACCAGGGCTCCTTAACAGAAAAAATGTAAATGCTATGTGGATATTATGCCTTTGAGATGTGTTTAGTTGAGCTTCCCACTGGCTGTCTTCCTGCTAAGAAGATAAAAAGCCATTGTAATAGTGATCTTAAAAGGAATGATCAAACATCAGACAGCTGTATGACTTCATTCTTAGATACAATTGGCAACAGTTATCCCAAAAGTGCTTTTTCATGAAGCAACTGGACTTTCTTGTTTTTTTGTTTGAAGATTTTTCACTTCTCATCCAAGAAACTTCTTCATCTCTGAAGCTTTTTGGATGAAAAGCGAAATGTCTTCAAAGAAAAAACAAGGAAATTCAGTTGCCTCATGAAAAAGCACTTTTGGGATAACTATGTCCTGGAAGACTGAGAATTTCCATAGACATTTGGCACCAGTTATTTAAAGTTCTTTAATTTTGACTTTCTAAATATTGTTGTTGAGTCAAAACACTTTTGCAACCCTGTGAAAATGATATTTAATGGGGAGGAAAAGTAAAATTAAAAAAGATTATCAGGCCATTAAACCAGTTAGATTAGACTGGGGTGTGGTCAGCAGACTTGTAATGTCCCATGTATGGTCTTCTCCCCTTTGTGAAGATTCTTAGTGAAACAAGAGCTAATCTAGACTACCCTAACCTATGACTCTCTATATAAATTGGGAATACCATTTCCAGAATTGCCACTCATCAGCCACACAGGCTGTGGATCATGAAAGTTGCTGAAGAGTGTCAGGTTGGAGAAAGCTAGGCAAATATCCTGATTTAATGGTTAAATAAGAAAACTGTTTTGAATATTAAGAAATTTGAGTCAACAACATCTATTTGTTGCAGCTTCTGAAAATGTCCTGAGATGAAGAGTATCAAGGACAATTTCTGGCATAACCCCAAGTCATTTCAACACCTCCTAAACAGTGACTGAGTATTCTTATCCTTAATTTAGATACTAGCTGTTCTGCAAGAGCCATGTTTGGTATTCAGTATAGGATTTGCTGTCAGATGTTTTGTGGGATGATAGTAGTTAACAATGTGTTCCTTCTTTTTTCAAAAAAAAATATATATATACAATCATGTTATTTTCCTTAAATGAATGCTACAGATTTGTGTACCTCCAAACACCAAGATATTTCTTGTTCCAAAAGTTTAAAAAAAAATGTTAGCTATTGACTTTCTCTCCTTTTTCCTTAATGAAAGGCTTTGGGGGAAAAAAGGCATTGCTATTGTATGCAGATTATTGGCCCATTGCATTCAGAAAAAGGCTATCACAGCATGTGTTGATGAATCATAGGCTGCAGATGAAGCATCATTAATAGGGCATCTGACATTTCAATCAAATATATGCAAGATCATCAGTTTTTTTATTACTCAGTCTTCAGTCATTTTTCCTCTTCATGGTCTCAGCACTTGTTTATTCGAGCAGTCATTGTTCTCTAAACTACAGTATTGTTATTTCAGTTATTCTCCATTAAACTGGCAATAAAAAGGAGAGGATAAATATACATGTGGCAGAGGAGACAAATTCAGGAACTTTCATTGAATGGGGAAGGAAGAATTATTTGCTGATGGTATTTGTAGTTACAAATTGGATTATCAGCTGGTCAAAGGGCCTTCTCCTCTCTCCTTTGTTCAGTTTAAAAGTGAGACTGTGGCTCATCGGAGTGCTTACAGGCCATTTATTCTGTGCTTTGAAAAGAAATGGTCCTAGGAAGGTGCTATAGTGCCAACCATCTTTTTTTCTTATCCACACAATGTCCTAATAATGATGGTGTGTCATCATGGAGTCTATCTTTCAGGGCATTATTGGCTCAATTTTCTGAAATGTACAGCATTGGTATTGCCAGAAAGGGCCAGGGGTTCACTTTTAAATTTGTTGATAGCAGAGAAAAGACCCAAGATTTCAATCCATCTTGTAAGAGGTTTTGTAAATGCTCCAATCTTTAAAGTACTTCTTCTGAACTTTTAGTAAGTTTGTTCTCTGTGATGCACCCAGGTTGATGCTTATGGAGGTATAGGTGAAAATTAGCTGCTCTGCTAAAAATTAACAGTAGTAAACTAAATAAAATATTGTCCTGAATGTTTTACAGTGGAGAATGAATTACAACGGAGAGTGATTGTCTTCACCTTATACTCTGAGAGTTTTCCTTTGTGGCAACAATGGGGTACTTCCATCTCTCTAGTTGTTGCTGTGCATTGACAACATTCTACTATCTTATATAACCATGATTAGCAACCAAGGAGGGTGAAACCTATCTTCCAACATTATTTCATGGATTATAGGTCTCCCTATTTTGATTATCAGGCATGAATTGATTTTTTTTCTATATATAAGATTGGAGTTCCTAGTATGGTGTTCACAAGCACTCATTTCCCCATGGACACCCCTCCACACACACACATACACTTGTGTCTATCAAACAAATGTTTGCTTGAATTTTTCAATTGAAAATGTATGTATTTTTAAATATTTTAAACAGGAAGCCAGCATGCCACTGCAGCATATTCTTTATTTTCAAGAGGGCCCTTACATTTTGCATATAAGGCATAAGTGATCTTGCAAAATAAAATGGGTCTGCAGTCTACACTTCTGCTTACCTGCTTAGAAAAAAAGAAGGTGACCTGGGGGCTTTTGAGTATATTTTGTAAGTGGGTAAGCATCCCATGTGAGAGAGTCCCACGAAATGATGTTAGACTTCCAAGTGGACCTTCTCTCCTCCCCCTAACAAAAATGGGGATCCCTAGTATGGAGTATCAAGGCAGGGTCTTTGAAAAGCCTTAAAAGCCAGCTGTGCAATCTCTACCAACCCACTAATCATAAGCATAATTTGCATCAGATGCATGTATGCTCTTTTCATTGAAAAGCTTTGCTTTGCTAGTATATGTTTGACTGTAAGTCTGTCTGCTTTTATTGTATTTTAATTACTTCCTTTTTCAGCATCTTCAGCATCTTACAATGAAGGCAAAACTTGTACATACTATTTCTTTCGCCCAAAGTAATTTATTCTTCTCATAGTTTCACAGGCTAAATCTCACAGTGTTTAACAAAATCTCCGATTGTGCTTTTATTTGAATAAATGGAATGTTTGTTCTCCTAGTCATGACAACACTGGGGCCAATAGAAGCATCTCAGCTAAATTATTAATATTATTGTTTTCATTTAGTGATCTGTGTCTATTATGCTTAATTTGATACCAAAGCAGATGAAAGATTTGTAGTTGTCAGGGGTCATTACTTTTAATAATTCATTTTTAAATAGCTGAGAGATGGATGAATAGTCCAATGACATTGCATACAGAAAGTTTGAGACTTTTCCCCCAGTTTACGTAATGAAGTTACTGTACTTTGATGGATCCATAAAACCCATTATATTCCCCTTCCCCCCCCTTTTTTTTTTCATTTTCTGAACAGATCTACAAAAAAATCACATATTTGTGTTTCAGGTATTTGAAACACCAAAACGTCTAGAACACCAGGATCTACCCCCCCCCCCAAAAAAAGGTTCAAAGTTACTTGTGGCCTCTAAGCAATGGGATGATAGTACTATGTTCCATATTAAGCATTTTCTGTGATAATATTTTTTTAATTAAATAATATTTAAAAGATAAAGGTTTCCCTGTCAGTTGTGCCCATAAGTAGGGCATGGAACTCATTCCCATTTCTTGGCTGAGGGAGCTAGAGTTGTCCAAAAGACAATTTCTGTGGTCACGTGGCCAGCATGGCTGTATGCCAAAAGAGCACGGAATGCTGTTTCTTTCCCACCAAACTAGTACCTATTAATCTGCTTGCATTTGCATGCTTTTGAACTGCTAGGTGGCAGGAGCTGGAGCAAGTAATGGGAACTCTCCCTGTTGCATGGAGCTCCAGTCTAGAACCCAGGCTATCAGCTCGCCAGCCAACAAGCTCAGATTCTTTAACCACTGAGCTATTGTGCTCCACAATATTTATTTAATAAACTTAAGTTTGACAATATTAAGACATAGTGCTGCTCCTGCTCACACGCACAGACACACACACACACACACACACACACAGAGAGAGAGAGAGAGAGAGAGAGAGAGAGAGAGAGAGAGAGAGAGAGAGAGAGAGCTTATGTTAAAGGTCTTTATTGAGCTGCCCAAGTAAACAGTTCTTAGCAGCTCTTGAATAAAAGCCCCCCACTCTGCTTTCTACCAAGATCTAAAGAGCTGGCAAGATGAGTGGTCTCAATTCCCAAAGCCAGGCAGAAGCCAGATTAAAGGCATTTGACAAAGCAAGAATTCCACAGGCTTGAATTAGTCCATGAGACAAGGCACCAGATCAAGGCACAAACTAGAGGTCCAAAGTTCAACATGAGTTCAAAGGCAAAATACAAGAAGCAGGAATCATGGAGCAAGGAATCTATACATGTTATTTCAGCAATGCCCATTCCTTTCAGTGGGATTAAATCGGCAATGGTGGTACAGCCCCACATAATGGGTGAGATTGCCTCCTCATGAGTAACCTGGCCAATTGGCGTACTTGTCACTTCTCTGACCTGCACATCCTGGGATGGGGGGGAGCTGTGGACTCTACCTCCTTATCCTCGCTGACTGCAGAGAGCTGTTCCCATTCTTTACCTGAAGCCTCCAGGTCAGGGGTGCCCAACCTATGGGACGTGGCCTGGTATCGGGCCATGGGCTCTTGGCCAGCAGGCCACAGAAATGGCTAGGGTGCACATACATGGGCGTGCATTCCCCTCACTGGCGCTAGTGCCCACAGCCGTTTTCACATGCGTGTGGGTACAAATGGGAACACTAGAGTGGGGGGGTGCATGCCCCATTTGCACATGCATGAACGGGTGCTAGCCGCCCATTTGTGCATGTGCATGCCACATGCATGAATGCAGCCACTAGTACTGTGCCAGTGGGCGGGGTCCCATTTGTGTGGGTGCATGTGCACATGTAGTAATTTGGAAGCTGCTCTCCTCTCTGGGCCCCGAGCCTGGAAAGATTGGAGCTCTAGGTAACTGTTGCAGCCTGTTGCCCATCAGGTTGTTCCAGCTGTGGTTGCTCCATTGAGTTGGAGCCCTCCATTCCCTGGGTCCATGTCTCCATGCACATCCATATTCACTTCCCCAAAAATGCCAGGATCTAGTTCATCACCCTCCTCTTCCTCCGAACTCACATCTGGAGAGGAGGCCGGAGGCATGTCCATGATAGTCATCCTTGCAAAGCATAAATTGATTCTACAACAAAACACAATTAACTTTAGCCTCAAGTATTAAATTTAGATGAATGGCAGAACGAACTATCTCTTATTCACCACCTCAACCTCTATCTCCAATGCCATTTTGAAACCAAGTTTTTACTCAGCTTCATACCCATGCTTTAATTTTGTCCCATCCAGTTCCTCACAGCTTTTAGGCACAGGGTAAGGATTTTCTGTTTCAGCCTGGATTGGAGCTGTACAGCTGAATATCATCAACTTATTCAATCCAAAATGAAGGATGATTTCTCTCAGGTTTTATGTAGCATACCACATACTATAAATTTGACTACTCTTCCCTTCCAGATTGTGCCTACTTGGGAAGATTGTAATATGGTGCTTCCAACCCTCAGAGTAATATCAAGATTGATAATTTTGAAGGTCACAAAGGCTTCTAGTATAATCAGGAAAGCATATCCAGGTCCTCTCATAAGATATACACTAGAGTAATCAGAACTGTTTTGTCCCATGCCTATGCCTGAATCCTAATTTAAAGGGATCCAAGATTAGTCCAGGATTGTGGGTAGCTGAAACCTCTCCACCTTCTCTAATATCTTCTTCCAATGTTGGAGAACTGAAATTGTCCAAGGCAACTGAATATGGCCTCTTTAGTCCACCTCTCTCTCAAACAGGTATTATTAATCACTCCCTGTATCCAGCCATATGTATACTAAAGGAGACAGACTGACAAACTAATCTGGCTTACAAACTATAGAAATCATGCTCCTAATAACCTTATTTAGAAATAAAATGAAAGCTAGCTACCTAGCTAGATTGATTGATTCTAAGGCTATCATAATAGAAGAAGGGGATGACAGAGAATGAGATGGCTGGATGGAGTCACTGAAGCAGTAGGTGTGAACTTAAATGGACTCCAGAAAATGGTAGAGGACAGGAAAACCTGGAGGAATGTTGTCCATGGGGTCACGATGGGTCAGACACGACTTCACAATTAAAAACAACAACAACAAAGGCTATCATAAGTAAATAAATGTCTCAACCTTCTGTATTCATTCAATGGTCAACCAAGACATGCAGGATATCTACCTCACATTGGTAACAACATTTTTCAATAATGGAAAATATGAAGTATGATAGTCATACATCAGATGTATTCAACTAAGCCTTTTAAAAAGCTACTCATGCTAATCATTGTATTTTGAATGGAATAAAGTGAAGTGTTAATCAAGGAACTTCTGATATGCTACTGATGTAAGAGATTAGAATGAAGAAGAGACAGAGATACAGAAATACAAACAGCTTTCAGAAACTCTTTAACCTCAATAGGCTACATGGAGTGAAGGAAGAAGGCTAGCAGTAAGCTGCCTCAGTGAATCTTCTTTACTAGTCAGAAAGGTGTGCCTGAAAGAAGCACAGTGGCTCAGAGAAGAGAGGAAGACAGGCAACCAGACTCCCCTTGCACTTTTTCCTTCTCTTTTTCTCACAGTGAGGAAAAACAATAAGTTTAAGCCAGTGGTGGGATTCAGCCAGTTCACATCAGTTTGGCAGAACCGGTAGCTAATTTTTTTGTGGCTAGGGCCCAGAATGGACTTCCGGAAATGGCATCCACACAGAGAACTGGTTGTTCACATATTTGACTCTCACCACTGGTTTAAGCTCAGTCTATTCTCTACTGCCAAGGATAACTTAAATTGTTGAGGTTACGGTCAGATGAAGAGTGCCAATAATAAAAGCAGTGAATGTTGGTTTATATATATATAGGTGGGCTGTAATGTATTTGAAGAAGATGAGTTTCTTTTTTCACACAGGATTTGATACCTGCTCCTCAACTAAGATTCATGAGCTATTAATATTTCCCCAAAGCTTTCTTTCTTTCTTTCTTTCTTTCTTTCTTTCTTTCTTTCTTTCTTTCTTTCTTTCTTTCTTCTCTCTCTCTCTCGCTCTCTGTGTCTCCCTCTTTATTACATATATATGCAGTGTGATGTATGATTGATATTCTTCATAAATAATATTTGGGAGAAAATGCAGTGTGAAATATAACACTTGCTGGACTCTTATCATCAGCTGGAGGAGTCACCTTCTGATCACCACAAGTTATATTTCAGTAGAAAAATGAAAAGGATGCCTGTTTAATATGTATTAAGAGAGGCTAGGAGTTATTATCTCTCCTTTCCAAGCTACTCCAAAGTAAGTTGCCAAAACACAATTCAGCTAGAGTAGTGTAGCATACACACATAAGGTTGAACTCTTCTGTGATTCTCTGTCTCTTTCAGAATAGCAGGGCATAGGAATACAATCAAATAAAAGAAGGTAGGGCTTAAAAGTTGCCATTGGTTCTATATACCTGTTTAAGGAGGTATGAATGATGAATGCATCCTGCAATCTGCTGTACAAATGCTGCTATGCTGGGCTATCTCTTTTGCTTCTTCATCTGTATTAGTTTCTGACATCTTTGGCATGTTGTTGCCTACTTCATCTTTTGAGGGACAGGAGAGATAAGAAAATCAACCCATACCACAAATTTTTAAGAGCAACGAAGACTGATCACATTGTGAAAGGGACTGAATTATGGACACAATCTTTAATAAACTGTCCCAAGTCATGGTTCTTCTGATATAAGGAGACTTTCTTTTGTGTTTGGAAATACCCAAACCTTTTTGTGAACTGCTTGGTTTCTTGATGGTATAAACGATAAACTAAACCTTGACAGATTACAAGCTTTATATTATGACTGACATTAGCTCATAAAAATAAATGATATGATATATTTAAACCCATGGATTATATATACAAATATATTTACTTTTCCTATAGACTGCATACCACCTGTAAGAAAAAGTGTTCAAAAATCTGTTACTTGGTACACTATTCCACCTACAGTATAGCTCTTGCCTGCTTTTTAGAAGGTAAGATAAAGATCTAACTTTTACTGCTTCATTTTAAAAAAATTGCCTCAAGTTAAATGTTAAAAATGCACTGACTTTATTGAAGTTGCTAATGAAACTTAAAGTTGTTTGCATTGTATTAATTGAAATAATGAAGTATCAAGTCAATACAAAGCTTGTGAGAAATGTTTTCCACCTAATGGAAAGCCACAGTCCATGATCTGTCTTTTTTTACCCCACAGAGTACATGAATTGCTGATATTTCATTTCTAATCTCAAAGATTGACTCTCTATGGAGGACTGGATATGGGATAGCTTGAGAGCATGGTTTGGAGGAATGTATGATGTTTGATCTCCCAATAAAGATAATCTTTTTCTCTCTCTCCTTTAAACAAAATAGAAATTAACTTTATAACTGGGGGTGGGGGAAAGGAATGAAGAAATCAACTATAGTCTCCAGTTCATGCCACCTTTGACTAAAAGAGAGTTTTTGGGAACTATAAGCCATTATGTCTGAAAAAAAAATTGAATGATGAGAAGGATTTATCATTGTACTCAATAGTTACAATTCACTGTTTAGGGTCTTAGATAAAAACAGGTCTTTGTTGAGCTGTTGAATCAGTCTTCTAGGTTCTGAGCATCAGGCTGAAAAAAGTGCTGAACTTTTTAGCTATTCAGGATTCATCCTGTTTCTCTCATTCTTTCATTGAACACAAGGAAAAAGGGATTGTGTGAAGACCTCTTATCTGATATGGATCATATGCTCATATCCTAATAGTTTTGTGATTTTCTTTTTGCAACTTATTTACTGGTTGGTAGATGGGTGAGGGGATTATTTGCTCTAGTAAACTGATGTATTTGTGGTATCATGAGAATGTTTGTTAAAATTGCTTCCTTATTAAAATGTTAATTAAAAGCTTTGATTGGCTATTGATAAACAACCATTTTTATCCTTAGAAAGATGGTTGCAAATATCTGCCTCAGCTAAACCAAAAGGCATTTGCTCTTAGCCTTGCTTAGAATGTGTGATTTTTTTTTCCTCATAAGGTTCCAAGCAATCTAATCTAAGACATTTTCATTTCAGTTTTTAACTTTTTTCTGAAGCCTTAGAGGGTGCTCTCAGTGGAAACAGCTCCTGGCACTTAGAATCAAATTAATGCATTCTTAATGGATCTTTTGTGATGGGAAAAACAAACAGAAGAAACAGCAGGAAAAGATTGTAGGATTAGCAACTCAGTGATATGTAGACCCAGATCTCGCTTACAAATCTGTGAACATGATAGGTAATAGCACAATAAAATGCTTGCCTAGAAGCACCCAAATAATGCATTCCTGTCACTTTTATTTCTAAAGAAGACAAATAGTATGAAAATCAGATAATTAAATAAAGGAAGTGTTCTATTAGCAATAACTGCTGGTACAAGATATATGTCAGTATCTTTATGCAAAAACTTCACCTCGTGAGGGATTTCCAAATGCCAAACATAGATTATTAAATGGCCTGAACAAAAGCAAAACCAGAGAATACCTCAGACTGTTGTTAGAAAAAAAATGTATTTGATTCTTTCTGAAGTATTGCACTACAAAGATTTCAGCTTATCAAAGATTCAGGCTAGCAGTATTTCCATTCTCCATGTACACAGCTTGTTCTATTTTTAAACCATGGAGGATATTTGAAACAGAGTATAATTGTGGTGTTTTGGCACAGTGGTCTGTCAGCAAAAATATTTACTAATTTTCCCACCCAAGTAACCCAAGTTGTAGTTATTTATTTACTCAAAACATAGGTAGTTCTTGGATAGTTCTTTAACTGTTTTATGACTTTGCTCCTATTAATGAGATCAATCAGTTTTCCAATTCATCAGTTGGTAAACCAGAGTATGTTAATCTTCCTGTTTGATTTTGCTCAGGTTTTCTTTTTTTTTTTCCAACTGCAAGTTTTGTTTGGTTCCACATTTTGCCTAATGTCTACATTTCTGAACATATTTTTTTAAAGAGTGTGAAGCTTCCAAGCAGTTTTCTCCAAGCACAATGCAGGGTTTTATATTCATTACCATATATACCACTATATAATCCCTCTATATACATTGTGTATTTAATTGTCCTATGGGCCTGATCCCTGATAATTGATTTCCAGAGCCACTTTTATTTTGACAGCTGGAAAAGCAGGGTTCTCCCTCTGTGTCAAAAACTCATCTCATCCACTTTTCTTGCCAAGAATATTGGCTAGAGAAGAAAAGGATGCAGGTTACAGGGCTGCCAGCTCTCCTGGCACCAAATATCCCCATTTCCCTCAAGGATGGAAGAAGGGATGAGAAACAAATCTTGCGTTATCAGCTTCTTTATCCTGTGGGAAACCATTCCTTCATGCTTTTCTCCTGTTATCTTGTCCTGCTATCCATAAGTGACAGAGATAACAGAGAAGCTGATATTTTGGATACTTATTCTTCTGGCACCCCAAAAATCTAGTTTCCATGGAAGTTCTTCTATCTTGCCACCTGGAGAAGTAATTCCTCCCTTTCTCTACAGCAAAGGTACCCCTTAACTTAGGTACTACATTGCTTACGTGGTGGGATGGGAAGGTTGCATTTTAAATATGGAATGTGGAAATTTAAATGTGGAATTTCACCTCTATCCATGTGTTGTTTTGATGTCCCAATAGTCTTCTGTAAAATGCTGGACATATACTTTGAATGAAACTCTCTTCTCAATACTGTGTAGCCAAACCCACAGGAGGGCATTGGGCTTCTAAATGTTCACATCAGTTGGAAACTGTACCATAGAGGTGTTTCCCCCTGGAGTGGCTGCTCTTCCTCACCGCTTTGGTATTACAGTGTACAAGCTGCAGATAACTTTTTAAAATCAGAATTGACTCTTTGGTTGCAATCCTCTAGATGTGTAAGAGAGATTGGAAGGAGAATTTGTGGAAATAACAGGAGGGACATTAAACTTAAACTGCTAACAGATGGGAGAGGTATTTGCTAATATTTTATCTCAGGGGTCTTCAAGCTTGCCCCTTTTATGACTTATGGACTTCAACTCCCAGAATTCCTCAGCCAGCATGCCTGGTTGAGGAATTCTGGGAGTTGAATTGCACAAGTCATAAAAAGGCCAAGTTTGAAGACCCCTGGTTTATCTCATAAATTGTAGTTCAGCCTAGATTGCTGAAAGCTGGGAAAGAAGAAATTCAAAATGTCCAAGAGACTCTACTTTAATGAATGAAGGCTGGAGTTTCTTTATCACAGTTTCCAAAACACAATACTTCTGTCCTAATTATTTTATGAAAGCTCTTTGTCATTCTTCCCTTCCTTCATTATGACCTGCAATACAGAGCTTGAGTAGATGCCATCAAGCCAATTTCCCCAGTTATCATGGCTCTGAAGGCTGTATTCCTATAGGAAAAAGAACTCCTTCTTCTCTCCCATGGGACTCCAGAAAATTGGCACCTCACCTGAACTTTCACTTCTTCTAAGTTCTCATTGTAGACTAAATCCTACAATGTCTGTCCAGCTTTGTTGCCAAGGCAGAAAAATGGATCCAAACTACAGTCCACAGCTCTTTGAGACAACATGCTTCTGTGCTACTGCACTGGTTAACCACACTTTGTGCTATATTGAGCAGTCATGCACCTTATTTCCTGTCATTATATATCACCCTTGTTTTAAGAGCTGTTAACACTATATGGAGGTGAAGCACCCTTCTTGAGGCCCTGTACATTCCTGGTTATCACTGCCAATCAAGCTCTCTTGATCCAAAATATCTTAGAGGATATGGGCAGCAGTTTTTTACATACATCTATTTCTGCCAGATAGTTACAAGCTACCATAGTACACAGAAAATGTTACACGGGGAAATGAAAATACACATTTCCTTATAATTGTTGCATCCAAAGTACCTACTATCAGATTTTGGCTATTTCTGGCCAGTCATCTTAATAATGTTGTTTTCCACATTCATTTGATGAAGTCCAGCTCTCTGAATTCAGCTACAATGTAAGGCTTACATGGAGATTTGATTTGGGGCACATTACATGAGTCACTGTGTTTAAATGAGACTGATAACAGTTCAGAAAGTTAAACTGGTGCATATGTCTTTGAAGAGATGGAAGTGAGTAGCATGACCCTCCAACTATTCAGCTACATCAGAGTGACTAGAGCTTTGTTCCAGCTGGAATTTTCAGGATCAACTGTTTCATTTCCTGATACATTGCTGCAAAATGCCTCTCCATCTGGACAGCTAGGAAACTGTTCATTGCCTGCATTAGTAATTCACATAATTATTGATTACAACATCAGTCCTTGCCATCTGTAAAGTGTTTCCTAGAGGCCAACTTTGTTATCAAGTTCACATTAGAGAGTATATTAAATTAGTTGTCAATTAACATTTCAACCTTCTGGGTGTAGAATCTTTATTTCCATTCATTAGACTATTTGCTTTACCTTCTGAAAGCCAAAGTAAGTATACCAAAGAGCCTAATGGAAATCTTGTTAGATTTTAGGCCTTGAAAGTTTCTTGAGATGGTCTTGGGCTTAAATCAGAATTTTGACCATTCAAAGCATCACATTAAACCCACTTGGCTTGATAATATATAACAAAGATAGTCATAGCAGGATGATTATTTGAGAGTTTGTCATAGATCTGTGAGAAAAACCAATGCTTTCCTGGATGGGTGAAGGTCTCTTCAAACCAAAGCTGGGACTTGTATCAAAGGATCCAATTATCATCTTTTTTGTTTACCACACTATATATTCTATAAAGTATTCCCTACATTATGTGTAAACAACCTGATGCTTTACAGGTATTTGGGCACTTTAGATACTTTCAGGTTCAGATCCAATAGCAAGGGATTTCAGAAGTATGAATCAATCCTCAGTTTCCATATTTTTACTTGATTTCTTTAACATATATTAAATCTTAGTACTAGTTCACAAAAAATATAATTAAATTGCAGGTTTAATTCAAGCCTCTCTAGAATCATAGTGACACTAAATAGGTTAATTTGTGTCATGGAAAAGTTACTATATAAGATGCTATTCCCCATATCTTTATGTAAATGGGCTATGACCTGTATGCACAGTAACATATGCTCCAATATCTAAAAGATTACCACCTTAATAATAAAAAAATCAAGTACATTTATAAGAAATTTATAAGATGGAAAAAGCAATATTGATATCAAAGGTTGAAGAATATTTAAATAACTTGATAAGTGAGTAAATAAATAATAAACCAGATCTATTATAAATGGCTAAGATATTAACTAAATTGCATTAGCAGTAGATGCAACATAATAGTGGATTCAACACAACTAGCTATTCAAAAGAATGCAGTACTCTGAATGTTTAAGATTATTAAGGACATTTATACACACCTACATACACACATAAATAGACACAGAACTATAGGTATAGGTCTGTTGGATTGATAAAACACAGTTGAACTATGGCTGTGATAAGAAGAATATTCTGAAAATATAATAAAATATAGGAGGGTGAGAAATGTGACTGAATTTTGCACAGGCCACATATTAGCAAATTTTGCTTCTATGGAAATAATTGCCATAGGAATACAAACTAGTTATAAGGATCAGATTTGCTTTTGATTAACCCCCAAAACTCATTTAAATTCAGCACATAGTGTAATCATACATGAAAGTAGTTCATATACTATTTTCACTTACTTTTGAATAAGGAGATATATGAATTGTTGCCATAGCTACTGGTAGTTGATATAATACCTATCATATCTGGAGCCTAAAACACTGCTTGTTCTGTTACATTGCTATGAAGAATATTTGCAGGCTATTAAACGAAAGTTAGAAACACAATCTTCAGTAGGATTGTTCCAACATCACTCTAGCCTACGTTTTTTTTTTTTTTCAATTTAAGATAGAACTAGCTCTTAAAACTACAGATTTTCTTGTGCTAGACTAGCTAGATTGGAGCAAATGTTCTTTAGAATTCAGTCCATTCTACTTTTAAATTAATGAACAGACATAGTCAATGAGCCCAAGGCACACTGCTTTGAATGGTCCATAACAACTATCTGGAAACTGAGTCATGGCAACTGGATTTCTTTTCTTTTCTTTCTTTCTTTCTTTCTTTCTTTCTTTCTTTTTTTCTTTTTTTTTGCTGCTTATCAAAGTATGGTAGCTTCTTCATTCTGGGATAGTAGGGGACTAAAGAAGCTGCTTAAATAAGCAGGAAAATGTTTCAAACCAAAAAAAGAAAAAGAAAAGAAGAAAAGAAAAGAAAAGAAAAGAAAAGAAAAAAGAAAAGAAAAGACTCAACTTCCAGATAACTGAAGCTGGATGACTGAAAATATTCACTGACATATCCTTAACAACTACTGCATTTCAGTCTTTATTTTTATAAGGATTGATACTCTAGGTTTGAAAAGCAGAAATAATAATAACTACTTCTACGCTGCCAACTTTCAATGATTCTGGGGTGCTCACAGCCATCAAACATTGAAATTACAATAAAACCAATAAGAAATAAAAGATAGCCAGCATGACAGACCAGATGGAATGAAGCAAGGGGCCTCATTCTCCCTGACTGAAAGCCTGGATGAAGATCCAGTTCTTCATAGCTCTTCTAAACAACTGTTGAATGGGGGCCATCCAGATCTTGGGGTACCTTTTTTCTACATGGTGTATTTCTGAAGTCCTGATAGATGACATTATTTAATCAAGGGAACCTAGAGTGCACCAACCCTGCAGGATTGAATCAGCCAGTCAGTTGTTTTGGGAGAAAGGCAATCCCTTAAATAATCAGACCATATGTCAGGTATGGTTATAGAGACAGAGATATGTGCTTCCATCATAGAGATGTAGTACAATGAGGAAACAACTTTTCTGCACTGAATGCTATTTGTAAGCATGTAGAAGCATGCAATATCCTTCAGAAAATCATTCCAAAATGATTTTTTTAAAAAAGCTGAGAACAAATCTACATAATAATTGCATAGTTTGAACTAAATATATAAGTGATAATGCAAATCATTTACTGCAAGTTAACAGTAGACCTACCACTAAGAGATACAATATTTCATGAACAAAGTATTAGAAGAAAGTTTTACTTTAAGATTTTAGATGGAAACGTCAGTCGTGGTCCCTGTCTTCTTATTTTTAAGTAGCTGAAATAAGAGAAAGAGAAATAAGCTAAATAGACAAAATGATCTTGGGTTGCAATAACTATATTTACTGAATTTAAAAGCCAGAAATAATATTGCAGTTAGATAAGGAAAAATGGTATCATCCAAAACAAACTCCTTTAAAAGAATTTACTGAAAGCAATAGGAAGGATGCAATAAAAAAATCTGTATTCATATGAAGGGAAAAAATACAGAAAGGTATTAGAGTTTACTGGAAGAAAATACCATCAAAAGTAGAAAGAGGCTATTCCATAATAATAGATAGCATGTAATATTTTAGAGTAGTGGTTACCAATCTGGGGTCTCACAATGACTCATGGTCTATAAAGATATTATTGGTAGTTCCTGATTCAGGTTTATTGCTTACAGGTTCCACAAGCTTTACAGGATTTATTTATTCATTTATTCATTCATTTAATACATTTATATGATTGCTTATTTCATACACTTGACTCTGGGTGCCTAATAATTAAAAACAAAATGAAAATAGAACAAAACAACCAAAATTAAAAACAATAAAACATCAATAGCATAAAATAGGTGGTAAGAGAATTAATAATGTCCCACATTTCAATTAACCATGAAACAAATCATTCATAGTGCAAGGGCCCCAGGCTAGATGGAAAAGCAACATCTTAATATCTTGCAAAAGACCAAAAGGATTGAGCAATTTTAATCCCAGAAGGGATGGGATAGAGGCAAGGAATCAGAACCATTCCAGAACCAGAATCAATAGGCCCAAATAGATACTTTATTGCTGATCACCTATATCATAAGAATCTTGTCAGACTATGTTTCTTCCCTGTAACACGAGGGTTATAGAAATAAACTTCAGACTTTTCTTCCCCAAAACTGATTCCAAACTGGAATGTCTCTTTATTCCTACTGGATGGATCCCCTTCTCCTTCAACCAGTAATTCTACCACAGGATGATGTTCCAGATACTATGACTGAAAAGCTGCTCTATGTCCTGCCAGATGATACTTTTTAATGAACAGGACCCAGAGCAAGATTTGCAAGATTTGGCAATCTCCTTATAAGATTTTTGCTTTGATTTTCCATAAACTATATTTTAAGGTTTAATTTGAGGGGTACCATCCATGCCATGTTGCCTAGTGGTGGAATGGAATTCAAGACAGATTTATATCCTGGTCCCCTAATCTTTGGATGTTAAAGTTATGATCTGCAGAAAAGAGCAAGGTGGGATCTTCTGAATCATCTAGAGAAACTGAAAGGCTGCATAGTTAAATATAGACCAAGGACTAAATAATATTTTTTATTTACCTAGTGCAAGCCAAGTTGCTCAGATATGGATATGGATTATCCCATTTTCTCCTTACATGAATCTTGAGCAAGTTAGCTTTCAAGATAAATTTACCTGCAGTCTGTAGCTAATCAGGAATTTAAATTTTAGATCAGTTCTGTATTGTGTTGATGCTTATCTTACTGCCCATGGACATGAATGTGATTGAAGATACCTGATTTGGCATCCTTCCTTATTTCTTTTCAACCTGGTTCTTTTAATTTTAAAGTGTTCCTGTACTGGGGGAAAAATTAGAAGCATTACCTGTTTCAAGCAAAATTGGGCAAGCCTTGAGGTTCATAGGCATGACTGGAAAATAAAAGCTGTGGGTGTCTGTTGAAGAAAGAAAGATAACTTTGAAAGAATAGACTATTACCAAAGCAGAGAGTGGGAAAAAATACTTGCATGATTCTGTTACCTCAGCCAATCTTAATAAAAGATTTTATATCTTTAGCTTTTCTGTGGAACTGATTTCTTGATCTGGTCTACCTAGTAGGGCTGACACTGTAGCTCAGCATGCTGACTGGGGAATTCTGGGAGTTGAGGTCCATATATCTTCAAAGCCACCAGAATTGAGAAATGCTTTTGTAGCTACATACGTACTTTGAAATGGAGCTACTTGAACCTCAAAAGAAGATAGGAGGGAGTTATGAATGATAGGGATTCAGGAAGAGTCATGGGGAACATTCCCATCAGTTTGCCTTCTAGTCAATTGATCTTCCTCGAAATAGAAAACATCATAGCTGCCATAGTTGCCCATTTGTGACAGACCTACAACATGCTCTCCAAATTGAGTTTATATACATTTAGGAATTTCAAGACAGTTGACACTGAAATGGGAGATTCACAAATCATTGAATCAATATTTATGCTCTTTTTAAACAAGGGTCCTTAAAAGACCTGCCTTTATTGCAGAATACTGCTTTTTACAGCTACCCAGAGTTTTTAGTTTAGTATGTACTACTATAAAAAAGTTTTTGGGGGAGTAAGGTGGCTAGTAGAAAATGAGAATGAGCAGACAATCTACAAAAATAACAAAATCATCTAATATAATCATTTCCTAGCCCAAAGTATGAGAATATATGATTTTCTTTCAATAGCACTTCCTCTTACATGCTTGCTTCAGAATAAAGAATAAGTAAAATTTACTGAATCAAACCTAACCCCTCTTTTTTTAAAAGCAACCATTTAGAATCATCCCTAATAGTCATTGGTTGATGTTCTGAGATGTTTACTGTGGTAACATTACAAAGTTAATGTCATAGAGGTGGCGCAGCAGTTAGAATGCAGTACTGCAGGCCACTTTAGCTGACTGAGTTCAGCAGGTCAGCGGTTCAAATCTCACCGGCTCAAGGTTGACTCAGCCTTCCATCCTTCCGGGGTAGGTAAAATGAGGACCCAGATTGTTGGGGGCAATGTAAATATATATATACATTGCTTACTGGTGTACACCACTTAGAGAGTGCTTGCACTTAAAGCGGTATATAAGTCTCATAAATAAATAAAATATTTTTCAAAAAAGGCTTCCAATCTCTTGGCACCAATAGGATCTTCTCTTGGAATTTAAATAACACATTTGAAAAAGGAATTTTTGATGAAACTGAGGGGGAGAGAGAAAATACCCACTATAGACCATAATCTTTAGATTAGCCAGCTATTTCTTTGCTTTGGCTTTCATGACACAAACAGAGGATTAAATGCACTGATGCAATTACTTTCCTGTCTCATTTGTTTTTCATCTCTTCTTGAGTATATTGCAATTTATTTTTAGCATCATTTTCAGTAAAATGAAGTTGGCTTTATTTTTCTGGTCATTGCCCAGGGAGAGTTTATGCTTCTGAGTTTCATTTCCTCAGAAAAATTTAATGTCTTTGTCCATTAATGAGGCTTATACCTGCATTGATTTACTAAAGCATGTGATATGCCTACAGAGGCATTTGCCTTATATTAATAGCCATCCCCTTTTTACATGACTGTAAGCATATGTAGGTCAATTGTAATGTACTGATATATTCTCAGTAATGTTCTCTGCAAATTAGTGGCTTTTCATGTTCTTAGCCAACTGTAAATTATTTAAGATAAAGACTTTCCAATTATTTTCCTATTTTGCACTGATTACATATCTATATAGTTGATAGCTATTTCCATAGTTCAGATGGCACAATGTAAAATATAATCTATTTTCTACAAATTATATGCCGTTCTATTGAGAACATGAAAGAGTAGGCATATGTTTGTTGTTTTAAAAAATGGCATTCAAGTGTCTGTAAATGTCTACTAACTATAGCCGGTCAAAGTATCAACCACCTCAGGACCTCTTATTTCTTATTAATTGCATTAGAAATGGTTATTTGTTTATTTATTTATTTATTTTCTTGCTTCCACATGTTATTACATGCAGGAAAACTATTGTATTTCCACCTTTTTCTCATAATATTTCCAATTTACAATAGTAATAGTTTAAGAGATCCTTGTTGATACATAGAAATAATATTAGAGTGTTGCTCCTGCAAGAATAATTCAATTTCAGTAAATTGCTTGTTCTTTATGTAGACTGAATTCTTATCCTCACTATAGAGTGGATCGAGCTTAGTTTACTTATGCTAGTTTTGGTTCTTGTTATTTTAAAATCTGTTAAAATACAATTTTATTTTCAAATTATGAAACATCTTCCAGAAGCTTTCTTTAATGAATATACATCTCCAAGATAGTCCACTGTTGCACTGTATTTATTTTTTAAACAGGCCCATAAGGAAACCATATTTTTTCCTCAACTTATCTCCTGCCATTATTTCCATGGACCAATTGTAATACATGTGACACTTGCCATGCTTTCTAAGCAGTCCATCTAGCAGAACCTCAAGGTTTCAGGTAATCTGTATTCAGTCAAGGAACAGCACAAAATGAAAGTGAGACAGACAAATAGAAAATACAAAGCAACAATTCAGGCCCAAGATCCTTTCAAGCAGAAGAGAAAAATAGCATTATAGCATAGACTACAGTAGTTCTCAAAAATGTGATATTTTCATCCTTAAAACTACAATCTATAACTAGAATAGAGCATAATAAATTTAGAGCCATCCCTAAAACTATAAAGTATTTTAATAGTTCATCTATAATCCATAAAATTATAACATTGTGAAACTGGACAAAAGGGTAATAAAATTGTCCCTGTACCTGCTTTTGCATTATTTCTATTGCAGCAACATAAAACCTGCTGGAGTTACTAAGCAAGTGATAAATCTTCTAAAACAGGGGTCTCAAATTGCCACGCCCATCCCAGCTCCGGCAATGCAAAAAAAGTTGTGATACGTCACAACACATCATGTGACATGGTGAGTTTGACACCTGTGTTCTAAAAGGAACTACAAAGCTTTCTTTTGAAGTGCTTGACCAACCTTCTAGCTACTTTGTGCAATAGGGGCATCATGAGATTGGTCCAAATTACCCTGTAAAATTTACACTATAATAATAGTTTCTCATTAGCATATGTGGGCAGGTATGTTCAATTAGTGGGATATTAGCATACCTGTATTGCAGTAATGTAGAAGGAATTATGTTTTCTGTCACAGAATTGTGTAGCAGCTGTCCAGATGAAGTTGGAGACACAAACTCAAACTTGTAGTCTTTATTGTCATCATCCATAAAGAAAAAACACAAGATAGTCAGGAACACAGTAACATGATGAGGCAAATTAAACAATATATAGAACACACAGAAGAAAAAGGGGAAAAAAGAGAAACTCCCCTTTTATACTTATAGCAACCAATCATAGTGTAGATTGCATCATGCATGAGTCAGCATTCTAACTAATCAACTACAAATGTGTGTTCTGGCCTTTTGAACACTTTACTGTTTCTGCTACTAAATTCAATATCCTAACATTTTCTCTAGGTTAAAAAAACCACTGTTGTCAGCTTGGGAAATGATAGTATATAAATAATTTGCTAGTTTTCATAGACATTAACAACCCAAAGTTTGTAATCTATTTACTTAACCAGATGCTTCATATCTTTTATTCCTTGGATGAACATTTTCTTAGCTGGAACATGTCCCAATGGCATTAAAAATGGTGCCCAAGACATCTTTTATGTGAGCTTCTGCCTTCTCACCAATTTCCTATTTGAGTAACAATTGAAGGTGGCAAGTCTCGTGAAAAATTTGTACTTTTAGCCAATGATTAACTATCAAACTCCAAGCTGAAATTTAGGCATTCTTATCTCCAGTCTAAGATGGATGTTGGCTGTCCCATTAGGGATTGCAAGGATGGCTATCAAGAATTCCATCTGCACCAACTCCACTTCATTCATGTTGGCACAAATTCCCACCTCCTTGCTACATAGAATTTGTGCCCAAAATTTTTCTTTGAAATGTTTTAACCTAACTCTTAGAAAAGTGTTTGAATATAAATTCTGCACAGAAAAAGGAGGTATGTGTCATTATATTTTTTTCCCCAAAGGTCTGTTTTAGATGTTAAATCAAGACAGCTTTAACATCTAAACAAGCCACATACAGGGAGAATTTTATTTCTGAGTCTTGATGAAGAATGAAAATACGATCTGTTGTTGACCTCACTTCTATAAATCCTGCCTACTCATTCCCAATTAGATTTCTGATTCTCTCCAGTCTTGTAGTTTGTGATGTAAGTGTCTAGTATATTATTTCCTAACCACATACAGAAGGCTAATGGCACTATAATTAACCAGACTGTTATTGTGATCTTTTTTTTATAAATTGGTATGACTATTGTGATCCTCAATTCTTTTAGAATATTACCAGTTTAACTAATAAATGTTAACAGGGATGTGAGGAGAGGCGCCCACCAGTTTAGCACAGTAGCCAACAAGATTTATCCAAGGTGCAATTATTGCTAATTGAAATAGACTCAAGGCAGAAGTTAAGGGTCCTAAGAGAAGATTATGTTGGGGGGGGGGGAAATAGCTTTTCCTTGCAAAAAGTTCAACAGACTGATCTGGGTGTTTCTTATCAGAGTGTGCTACTTGTATATGCTCTCCACTTAGCCATTTCCAGCGTTATACAATTCACAATCATTCATTGCCAATTCATTTTCAACCGGGTCCTTATTTTATGTTTCCATATCTTCAATAACTTTTCTACTAAAGTACACAAATAATCCACTTTATTTTTGTCATTTATGTATAACTTGCAATCATGCACTCCATTTCTTCTGTGAAATAAAATATCTTGCTGTTGATACTTCAGCATTCAGATCCATATTGCTTCATACAAGCTACTATATTATGTGAGAATCATTGCTTTCTCAATCAACAGAATGCATCATTTATGTACTATACTCCTCTATTTTCACCAGATACATTTCTTGTACCCTGTCTTGCATCAAGGTAGCATCCCACATTCTTGTCTTCTTTCTCCTTAGTCTTGGGCATTCCACGCATTTTCCTGCCTGTTTTTCTCCCAATATTCCATGACCTCTTCTACACATGCTCTTACTGTAGTCAGGACACACCTCAACTCCATAACCATGCTAAAGATCCCATAATTCACTTTATCATAACCTTTCTCTAAATCAACAAATATATAATAAACTTCAGTGTCATACAAATTGCAGCCATTTGTGGGAAATGGTTTCTAATGATGGTCTAAGTTTATTTCAAGGATAGAACAGGATTTTCTTGTTAAAACTACTTGGTTTCCATTTGCATTTTTTTCTAGAAAGTAACTTCCTCACTGATATTTGTTTGTACTGAAGCGTGCATTCTCTTAATCTTTAGTGCCTCATAACTGTCCTTTACAACAGGGATTCCCAACTCCTGGTCCATGGACTGGTACTGGCCCACAGCATGCCGGCAACCAGGCTGCACAAACAAGCAAAGCCCCATCTGTGAGATGCAGGCAGCACACAAAACCATGCCCCCTCTGGTCCATGGAAAAACCTCTCTCCATGGAATCGGTCCCTGGTGCCCAAAAGGTTGGGGACCTCTGCTTTACAAAACATCAATATCAAATACGATTCTATTCGGGTTGTCATTTAATCAGAAAACAAAATGTTTATCATCTTGCTATGGTGACTTTTTTGGCCTGAAATTCTTAGACGAACTTTAATGTATAGCTTGAAGCAATCTTATAAGAGAAAGCTTACAATCATGTCAGCCAAATTAATAAATACGCATTAAGCAGGGTTGGTGTTGTAAATTATTGAACTGTTCCTGAATAGATACAATAGAACAGACAAACAAACAGATACTGCAGAAATCAAATTACTTTAACTACCAACCTCACAAATCATGTTCTTGTTGTTCCCTAGTAGGACCTCTTCTTTCTCTATTTTCTTCAACTCCACACAAGCCAGAAATGAATCTTTTCAAAATTATATGAGCAACTGTGTGAAACATTACATCTTGTGGTAGAAATTAGGTTTTCCTTGAACCAGGGGCAGTCTTCAGAGTGTAGAAATAAAAACAAATGTTTGTCTTCAAATTTCAGTCATACTGTGTGAGAAACAGAGAACTATTAAATGCTGCAACTGCATTGCATTAAATGCACTTAAAAGATTGCATTAAAATTAAACATTCCATGCTTAATTTATATTAAATTGTATTAAACATATACTTTATGCAAAATGAAAAAAAAAATAAAGAAAACTCTAGTACTGATATTCTGTTTGAAGATGATTTGGTCATGTTGCAGGGTTGTTTATCTATTATTCAACAATAGCCCGCATTTTCATGAGAATGAACAATATTCAGCTAATATAACCTGTAATTTCCTGCTGTAGATGTTAATAAAAATGCCATGTTCCAAAAACATCTACCTGCTAAACCTGATAGGAGAGGAAAATTGTCTGCCATGAGTATATACTAGAGTCAGTTGTGGTCTAGGTCACCAATGGGTCTAATGTCCTTGCAGCCCAGAAGTTTCTTCACTTGGATAAATGAGATTTTTTAAAAATAAGAAAATTATCATCTAACACAGACATGTCAAAGTCATGACATCATGTGACGTCGCACAACGTATTGGGCCAGTTTTGCCATTGCCAGCATGGGGTGGGCGTGGCTTCCATGTGATGCGTCCGGCCCACAGGCCGGCAGTTCAACACCCCTGATCTAATACCTCCTTAACAAAACTTGCAATTAGCTGCATATAAAAAGGAAGCAACTCAAGCACAACCCAATAAGCACAGAAAGGAAGACAGAAATGCTTTTGAAGGCATAGCAAACAAAATTGATGGGAAGTAGAAAATGAGTTTGAAGTCAAGAGACCAAGCCACTAGACATCTGCAAATTATCATGCTTAAGATGTTATTTAATTACATTTCAAAGGAAGCGGACTTTTTAATGTTTGTTTTAGGATTGAAATGAGCTTTTAGCCAAACAAGGAATTATATTCAATTGAATAAACACTTTTCTCATTGGGAACTATATACAGTACTATGCTGTTCTCTAGAAGATCTACAGAATACTTATTTTTCCCTAATCAGATCCAAATTCAGGAACAAATTGTAGGTTCTAGATTATTATGGTATGACCTGTTATGCTGTGATTGAGAAAACTGTAACAGAGGATACTCTTAAATACACAAATTCTATGACTCACCAGATCAAACGGCAGAAAATCAATGTTGCACTGAGTCATATTTATGAAACTATTTTTTAAAAAATCCTGCTATTTATGTGAAGTAGCAAAAAACCTGCCTGTAAAGCACTACCAGCCAATAAAATATAACTGGAAGAATAGTTCTTATAGATTGCAAATTCTGAAGTCTTGTTACACTCTAGTTTTAATTAGAGATTACTTACTTATTCTACTGTTATAATAAATTCATTGTATTTACTGTATAATACTAATATCATACATATGGTAACATGATAAAGTCTTTTTCTTCCTTTTTATTTAAAAAAATGGTATGGTACCTACTTATTCTCAGTGACTCTGGTGGCTTACAAAAATTATTTGTTTACTACCTATGTTTTTGGTTTTGCCTTACCATATATCTTGAAATACTTGACACCCAGTTTTTATTTTAATAGTTTTCATTCCATTTCAGAGACATTTACTGTAAGGCTGTTGTGATTTGATACCATCACAACAGAACATGTGTACTGCAGAGTTTGAACTGTGATTCTGAACCTTTCATTTCCTATCACTCACTGCAAAGCTTCAAAACCTGAACTGGATGTATAATCCCTTCTGACCATTTTGTATATACCTTTTATGACATCTAATGAAATTGGTATTATTACTTTCAGGATCTTGTTTACCAGGTGTTCGTATCAAATTAGATTTATGGCATTTTGCAGCAACAGATGCCCAAAATGTTACAGCTGATTTCATTCTTCCCACCCCAAACCACAGGAATAGTCAGTCTGCAGCTGCTCCAACACAGATTCAGAAGAGAAATTAAACTAGTGCCTAGCCAGGCAGCTTTCCTTTAATATAATCACCATTCATTTCACTGGGACTCCTAAATAATTCCCCCAAGTGGATCATATAATTCCATTTTGTATGTGTATGTGTAAGATGGAATTCAAGCCTTTCTAAATAAATATTATAGAATATTTATATGTGCATATACTCAATGGGGTAAAATGTTCTAAATCATGAAAATGTGATAATTTTGTCTCTGAGTTTCATGTTATTGCCTGTGAGATAGTGAATATTGACAGTTTCAAATACAATTTATTGGTGGTCATGATGGGGAGATAGAAACAAGAGATATAGTCATAAAAAGAAGTCAATGTGGCTGGTATATTAAATAACTTCAAAATGTAAAATCTACATAAACTATTTCAATAGGAGGACTTTTTTCTAAACAGAATAGAAAATAATTTTATCAATGACACAAAAATCTCTTCTCCAAACTGACAATTAGGGATTCATTATTCTTGGTTTTGTACACTGGATGAACCTTGCTTGAATTTGTCATGCTGCTTAGTTACTAGCAGCATGATCCAGCATATTCAGAAGTAAATTCCATTGACATCTGTGGCTTCATTTCCAGGCATATGGACATACTGTATAACAGCAGATCATAGGCTACATGTCACATATAGTCCTTGGTTGACTTCCCTTTAACCTGTGAACTCTTTACTAAGTCTCAGTAGTTTTGCTCTTTCTTTTCTGCTATGTAGTTGATTGACAATGCAGATAGCTGCAGAGCTCATCTATTGGCATGCATTTCAGCAATTATTGGAGTGAGACTGCATTAGCTCAGATGCTTCCAACAATTTTCAGTTGGAAAATATAGAGCAGGAAGGCACACAGTGGTAATTAAATTTGATAGGGAGGAAAAGATGGGAAAAGATAATGGTGATAGACAAAAATGAATGAATGCTTGTGTGTTTATGGACATATATAACAATGGGGGACATAGATTTTCTGTTCCAAGCATTGAATCTTCAGCAGCACAGCTGCAAAGTTTGTGGAGGAGGGGAGATTGTAATGATTCTCCAAAACACTTTAATGGTGACCCAGAAAATAGAACGTGAGCAGCAGAATTTGAAGTTGGATTGTAGGGACAAATTGGGATTCCTGCTTATGTTGCTCAGTGTATTCCCTTCTGAGCTTCTTACCTCATCTCCAACTATTTCTCCCAGTCCACATATTGACAGCTTCCAGACATTGGATCCAGATTTCAACTAGGTATCATTGGCATATTAATGATACTTTACCCCAAGCCAGTAAATAAACAGTAAATAAACAACTTCATGTAAATAAAATAGTGGAGAGGGTTGACCCTTGGAGTATCTGATGCTTAAAGCAGGAGTCAGAATCTTTATTCTGCATGGGGGCCAGAGGCCCCTGCCACTGTTCCTCATTCTCCATCTCATAGTGCATTCTTACCCGCACCAGGTGTGGGACTTGTTGCTCTGCCCATGATGAAGTGACTAATGAAGTGACTAATGACCAAATGGCAGCTTGTGGAGGTGGTGAGGATTATCTTCAGCTCTCTTATAGTTGGGTGAATATATTTGTTTTGTGGACTACAGATGGATAATTTTGGGTGGTGGTCATATTGAGCCCCTGCTTCATGGTTTGCTCACTCCTGGCCAGCAAGTTTCATCTTCTCTTCCCCACCACACAGAAACTGAAACTATCAACTCAAGAAGGAATGGTCCCAGCCAGAGAGTGGTCCCTCAACCCTCAACCCACCCAATTTTCACAGTCCAGAAGGATACTAGAGCTGATGGATTCAAAAGTCACCAAGGGATCCAAAAGGATAGATATTACTACCCATCTTAGGTCTTCAGTATGTCATTGATGAGAAGGATCAACATAGTTTTTGTTCTGTGCCTCAGCTTGAAAGTTGTCTGGAAGACATCCCTTTGCAGCTACAGCCATCTTTCAGGGGAGGAAGGGCAAGGATTTTTAAAATATTATTTATATATTTTTTTGTTTCTCTTAGTGCTTAATGTATTGAGACTACTAATCATGAATAAACAAACAGTTACATAATTGAAATAGGAATTTTCAGTTGAAAAGGGCCATTTTTTACAAGAACACTCTTAATTCATATAAAGGTTTTCATGCTATATCAGGGCTCATACAACATGCATTGGTCATTGAAATAAGACCTTTTAATTTATTTTCAAAGAAAAACACAATATAAATATAAGCATGGACTTCCAGGATCTGTGGGGTGAGAGGTGAGATGGCCTATTTAAAGATCTCTGTCAGTTGTTTTGTTAATTTTATCCTTGATGACCATTGTTTGTTGTTCTTCTTTACTATTTTTTGTAAAAAAATATTTTAACTTGTTAGTCATCGGCAAACATTTAAATGAATTTGATGAATTATAAAATAAATAAGAGTAACAATTTTGTTATAATATATCTTGCAAGCATACTGTATCAGGAAAAAAAAATGTTTGGGGAGGCCATTTTATTTTATAACGCAGCTCATTTTTTATGAAGTTATATTCACTGCCTTTCTAGATACCACTATGAGAAATTTACCTTTGTCTGCTGCAATGCAACAAAGTTTTCCAAATGGTAATATGTATATACCATTGCAGAATTTCCCTCAATTTCTTTTATTTGTGACTGTTTTCTTCTGTTCTTCCCTCTTAGGCCCTGCCGCAAAAAAGAAGTATGTCAGTTATAACAACCTGGTAATCTAATCCGCTGCATCAGACGGAATCATGGGAGGATGGAGATTTTCATCCATTCAGTCACCAAACCTTATGTAGGCCTGTTCCTGAAGCTGCTGAGTATGCACTGCTGGAAGAGTTGAAAGGCCAGGCACTCATTATGGAGGATCCAAGTATTCTGGACAGCTGCTCAATGAAAATATTCTTACAATATTCTTGGCTTAATAAGTCACTGGCACTGCCATTAGGCTGTGATGTTGGACCTTTTTCTTTGTTTGGGAGACATTATCTCTGAGCTCCAATCTGCAACACTGGCCTAGCATCTCTGGGTGGATTGCAATTGGCAAAGTTGACTTTCATGGGGATATTTTTTTGTCTTTATATGTACTTCCAAACTGCAAGTTTTTCAACTTTCTGTACAGTTTGTGAGGATTTTCTTCTTTTTTTGTGTGTGCATTCTTTTCACATATTGCCATTTACGTTGTTTCAGAGGATTAACAATGGTTTGGAATGCACAGCCTCAGGCAAGCAAGCTCTGTTCGTTTCACAGCACATTCAGTAGGGAGAGAGAAAAAAAAAATAAAGACACCCACACCCCCTTCCCTCAAGATTGGGAAGCATTTATATTTGTGACATGTATGATCACAATGGAATACCTACAATTCATACAAGTTTTTTATTTATTTATTTTAAAAAGGGAGAAAAAAGTCTAAGACCAAAAACTGTGCTGATTAAACGAGCCCCTTCCCTGTTCCTCACCTTTACCTCCACCTTCATCCTTTGCCTTTCAAAATTCTGATGGCAACAGAAAAAGCAGAACAGTTTGCTGAGCTTTGATAGAGGTCGTCTCAGTATTTGGAATGCATGCCAGTAGCGTAATTTGTTCATATTTTATGTTAAGTATTTGTATTTCTACTTTTCTGATATTTTTTTTTGGTTTGTTTTTCATTAAGTATATAATTTTGCAATAATTTCAATAATTCTTATGCTGTTTGGGAGAAAGAAAATGGCTTTTACATGTCTTGAATTTCTTTTCCCCTCTTTGTTGATGCCCTAACTGACTGACCGGTGTGATTAAAAAAAAAAGAATTTTAAGGAAAAAAGCATGTATGTTTTATACTGTTTGTAATAAGTAATTTCGTTGATCTTGCTGCTTATGTGCCAATTTAGTGAGAACAAATCTTTGCTGCAAAACTCCCCCCTTTCCGTATTCTCAATCCTGTGATATTGTCCAAGAATGTATCAATAAAACATTTTGGTTAAATTTTCTTTATGTATGGTAACAATGCCTGTATTTTGAGAGCTGTCAAGATGAGAAAGACAAGCGGATGCATGAATGTGAGCCTTTCTAGCAGGTCTGCTTTCTGTGCAAAGGAAGAATGGATTCTAAAAAGTGGAAGCTATCATTTACTCAAAGAAAATTTCACAGATATGTTATTCTGATGCTGGGAAACTTTCAGATTACTATACATGCAATGGTAAAAGCAATCGTTGCTTATAGAACTACTTGACTATAAACACTGACCACACAACAGACAAAAATGTATAATATACTGGAGACTACACACTAACTTCAAAGTAGGTACATAGTAGGTACATGAATCAATCTTTGAATAACTCTTAATCAGAATTTGTGGGAATTTGGCTCAAATAGTAGTAATAAGTGCTTGATATTGTAAGAAAATGAAGAAATTATTCACTCAACAGGAATTACATATCATTTTTTTGTACAGTCTACTGATGCCGACTGCTTTTTCTAGGTAGCAAATGTTATGGAATGTCCTGTAAAGAGACATGACACCCTACTAGACAACTTATGGTTCATTGGTCTTTATTTCAGAGATAAATTGCTTACCTAAATGGAGAATCAGAATGACCATGAATGGACAAAATCAGTGGGAGTAGGAATGATTCCAGCTTCCTCAATGACTTTCCTTGTATGAAACTGGAAGGAAACATTGGGAATGAAAATAATGTGACTAGCTGACTGTGGCAGTGCAGCAGCATGGCAGCACTAAAGTGGCCACAACTTCCAAATTTAAATCCAAGAGGAGTCCTGGGTCCTGGGTTTTGAACATATTCTGTAAGGTGTCATACGTTGATTCCAAAATTGTGATGGCTCATTTCACCCCATTGAACAATGGGGTGAACAATTCATTGAACAAACAATGAAACTACAAGAGTTTTAGTAGCATATAGATTACCAAACACAATATGAAAAGAAATGATCCAGGTGTTTGAGGAGAGAGAGAGAGAGAGAGAGAGAGAGAGAGAGAGAGAAAGAGAGAGAGAAAGAGAGAGAGAGAGAGAGAAACTGCTATATGTTATATGTCAACTAAGTATTACGAGGATGTTACAGGTCAGCTGTGAATTACATTTTTAATATGCTGAATAGCTACAGTATGATTTCAGGAAAGCAAATTTTAATTCTGTACAGCATGGAAAAAAAAAGCTTAAAAAGCTAAATATGTCATGTTTCTCCGAAAAGAAGACCCAGTTTTATTTATTTTTTTTTGCCTCCAAAAGAGGCACCATGTCTTATTTTCAGGGGATGTCTTTTTCCTTGTCTCACCTTGCAGCCGCCCAACTGGCCCATTTCTTCTACAGCTGCTCATTGCCACTTGTGCGTATTGCCCCCGGCCTCCATTTTTCTGTCAGAGGCCTTCAGGAAAGGCCTCTGCAGCTGATAACTTAGCTCCAGATTGCCATGCACAGCATCCGCTGGCCTCCAGGGGGCACTGCACGCATCAATCCGGAGCCCCATTCTCAGCTTAAGAGGCCTTTACTGAAGGCCTCTGATGGCAAAATGGAGGCTGGGCTGATGCACAAGAATGATGGTGAGTGGCTGCAGAAGAAGTGGACCATGAGATGAGGAAGGTGTTGGGGCATGGGAGGCCTTGCTGCAACAGTAAGCAGGTGTGGGGCAGCTCCATCCCTACCCCCACCCTAACTTGATTTTTAGGCATGCCCTTCGCCCCAAAACTAGGGCTCATTTTGGGGGTAGGGCTTAAATTAGGCCCACTCCCAAAATCAAGCTAGGCTTATTTTCGGGGTAGGTCTTATTTTGGGGAAACATGGTATATGATGAAAGGAAAAGAGTTGGGCAACCAATATAGGAAAACCAACATAATTTATTCTGCCTCCAGATGAGAAAGCAAATTTGCATGCTAACTTCAGGAAAGGCAGCAATATTTGGTTTCTAATGTGAAGATGATATTCTAAAATATTTATCATTCCATTTTATCTAAACAACATGGTAAATTACACTGATGAATGGTAATCAGCATCAAAACAAAATATGTGAACACAGAAAAAGGCTAAAAATGAAGGCTTCTGTGTATTCTAACAAAGTTGACTGAACTTTGAGGCATTATATTAAATGGCTGGAAAAGTGGTTGCTCTAGAACTTTTCTGGAAGTCATTCATCAGTGGGAGCATGTTTCTGTGGAATGGGTATCTAGAGACTTTTCCTTGTTTCCACCTAACCATGGCACAAACCTAAGGAAGAGACATGCTATATTTTTTTAGCGTGTTGTGATCTCACAATTTTGTGGTTAGCACAAAACATGGACTATATTTTCCTCCATCAGCCAATACCTTCCAAGGGCTGTGTCAAAATCTGTAAAATCTATTAAGCCTTGTCCCCTGAGTTTGTTGCTTGCTTTGAAAAAGATTGGTCTCTTGGCTTTAATTATACATACTGTGGTTTAAAGTTATTTAAGTTATTTGTATTACCTTGTTAGCCACCCAGACTCAACACATTGAAATGGGCACCCATATAAATCAAACAAGTTAAACTTAGCTGTGAGGAAAGGCTCATATATTAAAGGGAAACATTCTATGAGAAATAGCAGTAATTATGCTCCCCATCTATCCATGTACCCTTGCAGAATTTGGGAAGATATTTATATAGCAATAGCAGTACCACTTAGACTTATATACTGCTCCATAGTGTTTTTCTGCACTCTTTGAATGATTTACAAATGTTAGCATATTGCCCCCAACAATCTGAGAAGGATGGAAGGCTGACTCAACCTTGAGCCAATCAGGATCAAACTCCCAGTTGTAAGCAGGGTCAGCCTGTAATACTGCATTCTATGCCACATCAACTCCTAGATGCTTCAAGACCTTCAATCATTTACTGATATCTGATAATTTAGATAACTAGGTAAATAATTAGAAAGCAAGACTTCCAGTAAATATGTTTCAATCAGCATTGCATAGTGTCTAGACAAGAATTGTGTGTACTTTAAAAGCAAAGAGGAGACATATAATACCTGAAAATCCCCAGTGGCTTGTAAATGTCATTTCAGGAAAAAATTGAATGAAAAAATCAATTGATTCTTTTGTAGAGTTGTTTTGATTTCCCTAAACCTATTTTATTCAGGAGAAATGGATGTCCCCTGTGCTTTCTTCAGATTATTATTAGCAATGAAGGTGGTGATTGGATATAATTCACAAAGTTTCTGTATATAATCATATTTACAAAGATATAGATTATGGGTCTGGACTGTATTTTACAGCACAAGAAATATAAACCTTACAAAACTATACACCTCAATTAATTAGCTGAACACAATCTGAAACTCTAGAAAACTCATTCCAGAAGTAACTTAGATGCCTTGATGCCAGTAATGGGAGTGACATTTAAAGAAAATTAATCACCTTTCTCCCATATTTTTTTAAAAATATATTCATTACAATAAGATAATATTTTAAACATTAGAATGAGCACAGTATCCAACCAACATATTCTGAAATATTCTGGTGATACATTCCTATGTAGGTGTCTATGGAGATTCTCAGTCATCCAGGTCATGGTTGTCCCAAAGATGCTTTTTCAAGAGGCAATTGGACTTTCTTGTTTTTCTTTGAAGACGTTTTGCTTCTCATCTAAGAAGATTCTTCAGCTCTGAGTTGAAGAATCTTCTTGGATGAGAAGCAAAACATCTTCAAAGAAAAACAAAAAAGTCTGGTTGCCTCTTGAAAAAGCACCTTTGGAATTCCTATGTAGGATTCAATGGGTAAGGAATTATCAGTGTCTTTTCCCTGTTCCAGGTTGCACTGGACACATAGTTGAAGTTCAAAAATATAGTGTGAGTGTAGTGGGTAAACTTGGTCCAAAGCTTGAATTACAGTTCTGGTACACATGGAAATCAATCAATCAATCAGAATACAGCTGGAAGCGACCTTGGAGGTCTTCTAGTCCAATCCCTATACCAGGCCTATACCATTTCAGACGGGTGGTTGTCCAGGCTTTTTTGAAAAACCTCCAATGATGAAGCACCTACAACTACTGAAGGCAAGCTGTTCCACTGGTTAATTGTCTTCACTGTTAAGAAGTTTCTCCTTAATTCCAGGTTGCTTCTCTCCTTGAGTAGTTTCCATCCATTGTTTCTTGTCTTGACTTCTGGTGCTTTGGAAAATAATTTGACCCCCTCTTCTTTGTGGCAGCCTCTCAAATTCTAGAATACCGCTGTCATGTCACCCCTAGCCCTTCTTTTCTCTATATACAATTCCTGCAACTGTTCTTCATATGTTTTTTTTTTTTTTTTTTTTGTCTCCAGGGCCTTAATCATCTTAGTTGCTCTTCTTTGTACTTTTCCCAAAGTCTCAATATCTTTTTTGTAATGTGATGACCCAAACTGGATGCAATATTCCAGGTGTGGTCTTATTAAGGATTTATTCCAGGTATGGTCTTACTAAGGATTTGCAAAACGATACCATAAAATGTTTGAATGCATCCCAAGACTCTGACTGCTATCATCCTGGATCTTTTGATCAATGAAGTTGCAATGCAAATTAGAAAGGGAAGGTTTGTTCACTGGTCCTCACATGTGAAAACTACATGTGAAGGCATTTCTTGAACATAGCTAATCAATAAAGCCAATCCATATCTGAAATACTTCTAGTGAATTTACTTGATCCTCCCCTCCACCCCCATAAAAAAGTTGAATGAATTAGAAGGGGGGGAAAATCTCTTTGATGTTGTATCTTCTATACATTTTTCTTCTTGAAGTATTTACAAAAATGAGAATACTCCTGTGTGGTGCATATTTAATGTTTCTATCTATGCTGACTTCCAGAATCAGCAGTAATGTTCTTTTATGAATAAGACTACTGTTGTCAAATATTGAATATTAGGTATACAAATCATAACCAAGCAAAGAGGTAGGGAGATGGTTCAGAATAAAAAGCTGGAATATTTTATTTTAAAAAATCAA